GGAACACAGTTTCAAGGGCAGGATGTCGCCAAGCCAGATCACGCTATATGTGCTCAGGTGTGAAGTGTTGGGTGCACCCGGAGGGCCAGAGCGTCCCTCTGTGGGTCCATCTCCCTGCCAGGGTTTCCACTGGGAGACAGCGAATCCAGAGCAGGCCAGCACCCACCACTGCATTATCTCATCCCTGTGCACCAGGGTGCTTTCTTCCTCCCAGGCTCCAGCTCCTTAGCCAGGTGCTGTTCTGCTGATCCCAGGTGCACAGGCATTCAGTGAGACTGATTGGGCTTACCTGCCTGGACACACCAGGAGCCATATTGAGCCCCTGTCCCTCACATGCCAGGGTGGCACCGGAAAATCCACAGGTTAGCTAGCAGGACACATCCAGGAGGTGAGGCAAGCTACACCTGTATCCTAGGGACCCTGTTTTCTACTCCCTAGGGATCATGGTTTCTACTCCCACCCTTTCCCAGTTGTTACTAACCCTAAGTAAGGACAAAGCACTTGGTCCTCAGATGCCTCATTATTGCGTCATTCCGATGCCCTCCTAACTAACTTCCGCTTTTCTCCTGCCTAGAGAATTGCTATCTCCTTAAGGGTGTGGAGGGAGAAGAAAGCTTTTACTAACATTATTTATTCTTCACAAATTTAAAGTTTGGGGAACAAATATTGACTACTGCTACTTTTGAGATTAAAAATTTCTTTCTAGTAACTTATTTCTCTGTCATAACTTTTAACAGCTATATTAAAATGAATACAAATTTATTTATTTGTTTTTTGTATTTTTTAAATCTACACAAAGGAAAGAAGGTATATAGGACCTTCATTGATGCCTGAATTGGGGGTGGGGTGGGGCAGTGGCCAAAGGTGGGAACACAAGGAAGAGAGAAAAATTAACTTCAGCTAAGATATCAAAATATTATCAGACTATACTTGCTTTCTTTTGTGTTACTGGGCATGAAACCTGATCTGGGAAATGAGATTAAATGGGCCTGAAGCATAAAGGGCCATGGTCGTAGTCAGTCCTGACATAAACGACAGGAAAATTTTCAGTAAAGATCTCATAAAGGGAGTTTATCCTTCCACAGAGATATTAGTTCAGGGTCACTGAGGGATTAGGTAACTGGGTGGATACCTCAGGAATCCCACAATAGGTAACAACTGGGAAAAAATTCAAGAGTTTGGGGGAGAATTCTGAGAGGTATGTGAGATCTGAGGGAGCTGCAGCACCTGTAGTCAGAGAAGAAGTGAGAGGATGAGTGTAGGAAGCGAGAGGTAATGTGATGAACGTGGCCAGGAAATAGTGCTGCCATCCAGCATGTCCACTCTCTGCTTTTGGATGGCAATGCACCTGCAACGACACAGACATGAGATCTAGTGGCTCCTGTGCTACCATTATGTTGTTTCTCAATTCTGTTCTTCAACCACACTTGTGTCCTCAGTCTCCTCCCACTTTCCTTCCTTCTGCTTTTTATATCTGAATACTTACCTTCCCTTCATAAGGGCCCTTGTTGTCTTGAGACACCACCTGGGCGCAGGCCCTGGATAATGAAGATGGCGCCTGTGATGATGCCCACGAGGCCCATGGCCAGCCCCAGGGCACAGACCACTGTCTCCATCAGCTCTGACATGGGGACTGGAATCTCAGGCTCTGTGGGTGTGAGGTTTTGGAGGTCAGAATACAGAGAGAGTTGCTGTGCAGGTATATGGGGTTGGTTCTGTAAAGATGTGGGGCATGGGGCTTAGTGAGAGGGTGCAGTCTATCATTAGAAACCCTTAAAGTGTTAGTTTTAGGGCCACGAGTTAGGGGATCATAGGCAGATGTTCAGACTTGACAGAGGAAAGAAGGCACCAAAAGGCATAGGGCTCTGATGGAGGCCAAAGCATAGCAGCATTAGCATGAAAGTGCAAAAAAGACACTGGAAGGCAGAGGGACCTCGATCTCAGCAGGGCTGAATCAGCATAGATTGCTCCTGCTGTGATGGCAATGGCTCCGGGCAATTTCCTGACGGGATCATCTTTACACTGTTTACCAGACTTTACCTTTGATCTGCCTGCATGCATTGCTAAAGGCAAATGTGTAATCAAACTGAATAAAAAGCAGGCAGGACCCAGACTTGTGGTTCCTCTTCTTGCAAAGAGGTTTCCACCTGCCCCCCCCCCCAATGCCTTCAAAATCCATATTTCTTATACAGTGTATTCATTGTGTGTCATTGGCCCTCCTGCAAGTTATCCTGAACCACCAGGCAGGTCGTGGCAGGGCTCATACCCACCCCAGCGCTTCAGGAGTGGCTGGTTCAGCCCCCAGTGCTCCACCTTGCAGTCATAGACATTGTCAGCAGAAGGGAGGAAGGCGAGGTAACTGAACTTGAGGAAGGAATCATCACTCTTGGACAGGAAGCTGGTTTCAGAAACACCCTGCGTGACTGAGTGCCCGTTGCTCAGCCACGAGATGTTGATCACAGGAGGGAAGATGTTGTCCACGGCACAGATGAGGGTGTTGGGCTGGCCCAGCTCCACGGGAGCCTTGGGAAACACAGTCACCTCAGGAACCTCTATGGTGAGGAAACAGCACTGGGTTAGAATCGTGGGCAGCTCTGCCCTGAGGTCCCTGCCTCCTGGAGGGCCCTCCCACCAACGTTTCCCCATTGGAAAGCAGAGATGCTCTTGTTCCCTCTGCTTGTGAGCCGCTGTACACTGCCCGCCCGTCATCCCCACACCTTTCTCTCTGTGGGCCCCTGGTTAGGGTGGACGTCTATGGGACCAGTCCTTTAAGGAGTTGAGGATTGCAGTGTGGGTGCAAGAATCTGTATTTCATGGAAACATGTGATTTGTAAGAAGGGAGAGGATGAGGGTTCAGCAAATTCCATGAGAAGATCTGGGACTCCTTAGAAAGGAGCGCATTTTATAGAGTGAAGGGAATCTATCCGAGTGAAGAAGGGAGTGAGGCCTGGTATGAAGGGTAGATTCAGGAAAGAGACAGGATGGTGGACACATACTATTGGGAGCAGTCTTATAGTTGGAGCGTTCAATCAGGAGGTGCAAGTTGTATTTTAACATAGCCATGTTTCTCAGTGCATTCCGAGTGTCAAAATATTTAAATTCACTGAACCCAGGCAGCCAGCAGACAGTCTCCTTCTTGGACAGGTCCGCGTAGAACTCCTCTTCTCCATCAAATTCATGGGTGTACTGGCCGAAGGGACCGTAAGACTGGAAGACATTTATGCCATAGGCCCCAACGTGGTCAGCTGATGAGTGAGGTGGGAGCAGGGAGGTGCAAAACACAGGAGAGAAAGGATCTCGTTAAACAAAGTGACAAGAAACATTGTGGGCTGCACCTTTGGCACAACCTGCAGACAGTCCCCAGCACCTGCTCCCTCCCCTGGCTGTCCTGTTAGAATCCAGCTGCCTCTCCACTCCTATGGTTGCTCTTGTCACAGGAACAGAATTCCACAGGCCTGTTTACTGCTATTCTCTGCCCACCTAGCTCAGCGCCTGGCACCTCTTGGGCTTAAGATAAATACTGAAATGGGCAGAACAAGGAATGAATGACCATGGCCTTAGCTTTCTTTTCAGAGATTCAGTTCACCTCCCTCTGCTTCATAAGTTTTCTCTCTCGATTTCTTCATCGGTTAATAACACATTCATTGTGGGTCCTCTCCCCTCAGGACTGGCTCAGAATAGAACATGTGCTATACAAGAATTCCTTCCTCCTTTTATTTTTTTAACCAACAAAAGCACACATAATATTATTTTAAAAGAATTGCCTCTATTTTAGGGACTAAGAAAGAGCATGAGCCCTGCCATGGTGGCCCAGTGGTTGAGCATCAACCTATGAACCAGGAAGTCATGGTTCGATTCCTGATCAGGGTACATGCCCCAGTTGTGGGCTTGATCCCCAGTAGGGGGCGTGCAGGAGGCAGCTGATCAATGATTCCCTCTCATCATTAATGTTTCTATTTCTCTCTCCCTCTCCTGTAGTCTCTGAAATCAATAAAAATATATTTTAAAAAAAGAAAGAGCATGATAAGGGCAGTGACAATATTACAAAACACATAAAAGTAAACATGCTTCTAAGGTCTCTTTGTGTGTGTGTTTGTTTAATCCTCACCTAAGGATATATATATATGTGTGTGTGTGTGTGTGTGTGTGTGTGTGTA